AAAAAAAGGTCCGAAAATAGCCAACAAAATCAACCGGCTAGAAATTGGAAAAATTCCGGCCAAAGAGGCTGAAATCTCGCAGGAACTCCCATTTTCAAGCTTTTAAACCTGTATTTTTAGATATACAAGAAACTCATACCATTGTGAACTCAAAATAACCCCAAACAGAGTTTAGAAACCAAATAATCATAAAAAAATATAGATTCAAATTTCTTGAACATAAACTCTCATAAACACACTCAAATATCTTGTATTAATGTTGAATTGAACAAGGAGAAGTTGGGGAAATACCTAATGAAGCTTTGTGAGCAGATTAGAGCTAAAAAAAAATGCAGATAGAAGTAGTTTGACGAAGCTTCAAACTTGCTCCAGGGTAGCCAAATCAATGATTTCGGGGCTGAATTTGAGAGCTTTCTAGATGATTTTTGTGAAAGGATTTCTAAATGAAACTTGCTCTCCCAACATCCTAGTTTGTGCTGAAATCAACAGCTTCTAAAATGAAGCTATATCAAAGCAAAAAATTCGGTTGGAACCAGGCTGAAAAGTCAGCCTTTTCTGAAAATTTTTTGCGGAAAAAATTTCTTTTTCTTCTTTGGTTTCCCTCTTTTTCTTCTCTCTCTTTTTCCTGCCACTTTTTCTCAGTCCTTGGCACCCTCAAGCTAAGTTCCTTGTTATTTAAACGAAACAAAACACATTAAACCTAAGAACAAGGGCTTGGATGAAGCCAAGTTTTTTGTGGGTTTATGGTGGCCGTTTCTTGTTCATTGGATCCATTTTTCCAGCTGCCTTTGATAGATTTTTGAGGTGATGAGGTGGCCTTTGTACTGGTAAGCTTGGAGAAAAAGAAAAGAAAGAAAAATCGAATCCAAAAATGTATCAAAATCCAGTTGCATTGCACTGGTTCCTTGCTGCAATTTTGTAGCAGGAACAAGCCACGCGCGTGCAACAAATATATATTTTTTTAACTGCATTTTCTCATTTTTGTTCTTTTTCCTTCTTTTCCCTTCTTTGACTTTCCTACAAAACAATCAAATAAAATCAAATGAGATAAAATGATTTCTTAGAAAAATAAAAATAAAGGAATAAATAATAAAATAATTTATCAAAATTATGGTGTCTACAAAGATTGTTTAAATGAAAATGTAGAAAAAGAGGGGGGATTTCTCAGAATATGTCTAAAGCAACAATCAACAAAAAAGGAAAACGTTAAAGCTTTCTCACAAATAAAAGATTATAGATGTTTGAGACAAATTTCGTGGCGTAGCTCGTCTGAATACTTCAAATTAGCAAGAAAAAAAACAACCAATAAAACTAACAAAATCGTAGGAGATTGTGGTGATGCATAAATTACTATGGGTAATGATGAAAAGCAAAGGAAATTAGCAGAAAAATCTTACCTAGGAGAGACTTCCTTATCAGATCTGTAAACAGAAAATAGATTTTAACAAATTTTTATTTGAGGAAGATGGAGTAGGGTTTGGAAGCAAACTCCGTTGCAATTTTTGGGATGATGTATGAAATGATAGATTGTGTCATCATGATCATGCTTCGAATTAATTAAACCACTGGAAAACATATCCTGAAGTGAATGGAGCAGGTAAATCATGAAAATCCTGAAATCAAGTTCAGGATAGTTAATGCAGCAAGTAAATCATCAAAGTCTGAATCAGTTACCAAGGGTCCCAAGCACAGCCACCAGTGATAAAGTAAGCATTGTGTCAAATTCTTGCTGAATGTATTTAAAGAAAGAAAATACAGACCATCAAGCACTAAAATCTAGTTCCAAAAAAAAAATATATATATATAAAACCTAACTATACGTGTGTTTGATAAAACTGAAGTTCGAAATTTGAAATATGAATCCATTAATTTACTAAATTGTTATGTACTAAAATTTTAACATTTGAACATATTCTGCATTAAGTAATACGTGAATTGCGTATTAGTTATTGCTTTGAGTAAATTTTATCTAAATAATGCACAGTTGATTAATTAATTAAGATATTCTATTTTTGATTATCAAACATATTTGAACATATTAAAGTCTCAATTCATTAAATTCAAGTGCTGAATCGAATTATCAAACACGGCCAGTAAAATTTTCTAGGAAATCAGACCTAAGTACCTTGAAAACCAAGCATAATCCTAATCCTAACTGTGGTCTGAAAACCACTTCCAAGTAAACTCCAAAAGGTATTCTTTTGCCATACTCTTTCCTCTTAAAGTCACAAAGCAATCCAGGGCTTCGAGGACTAGGAGTTTGCTCTACAACAAATTTCTTGTCACCCACAAATAATATAAATAAATAAAGCGATTCCTCGCTTTTTCGTTTCCTCTCTCTCCAATACCCCTTTTATTTTCCTACTCTTTTCCGCATCCCTTAAACCCAGCACGCATGGCCGGTACGACTCCCTCCGATAAAAAAAAAAAAGAACTTGTTTTGGATTGAAAAATATCTTTTGCACATGTAAACGCCGCATTTGTATGTGCTGATTGTTGTTTGGGATGAAGGTAAAAGAAATATAACTTGTTTTGATCTCCAAAAATCTTTTAGTATGGCTTTCTGTGTTATGTCATTTATCTCAGCCTTTTTTTTTTTCATAGATCATATCTGTTTCAGGATATAGCAAAGTCTTTGGAGTTTTCTTGGTGGAAAAAAGACCATATGTACAAGTAACGCAAAGTCTTTGTCAATAATTTGGAACGTTATTCTATAAAAAAAATCACGTTAACTGCATTTATTCTATACGAATTTAAACAAAAATAAACCCAGGTACTATTTCAAGTGAGTGTGTTTGGATAGAAAATTATTTGGAACATTGTTTTGAAAAAACACTCTGTCGCTTTTTTTGTAATGATATATATATATATATATAGCCTTTTTGTGTATGTGCGTGTTACTATAAGTGGTTGGAAACCTTTAAAAAAATTTAAAAAATTAATTGAAAAATGTATTTATGATACTAGCAATATAAACTTTGCAAGAAATTTGATGTTTATTAGCTAGGCCAGAACTCTTGTGGCTTAAATGGTTACATAATTACATGTTTTTTTGGTCTAGCGAACTTTGTGTTATGTTTGTTATACAATTTCAGCAAATTCAACTACCAGGTTTAATTCCTCCACTGTTTTTTTTTCTTTTTTGGTCTCTGGAATCTTGATTTTAGACTACAATGTTCATCTCAATCCCCTCCCCGTTGTATTATCTCCATGTTGTTCCGGCATGTCGATATTAATTTCTTCTTGCTATTATTTATACTCGAGTTTTTTTTTAAGGACTGGACATTGTTGATTGGTTGGCTGCCTCAAACGTGGTTCGCCGGTGGTGCTTCGCATGCATTGCCCTTGTTTTGAGAAGGATAATTAGCGCATTATCATTTTGTTATCATTTTGTTTCAGTGATAACGTTGTTGCACAACTTCCTGACGATGTCGTGATAGACATCCTGCTTAGACTTCCTGCAGATCGTGTCGCAGACTGTCGAAGGGTGTGCAGGCGCTGGAGATCATTGACTTCCTCAGATTATTTTATCAAATTGCACCTGGATAGGTCTGCTCCACTCATTTTTGTGCAAGCCACGGATCTAACGGATTCGAGGGGAACTGGAAAATTGGCTTTCTACATTTTGTATCAAGCAAGCAACCGCAGGAACAAAATAAAAAAATTGCGGCTTAGGCCTGAAATAAAGATGAGTCAAGGTGACACCGAAGTAGTTGATTCATGTCATGGACTGCTTTTGTTCAGGGATGCCTTTGCTCGCTGGCGTTATTATGTATTCAACCCTTTAACACAAGAACTATTGGTTCTAGATGGTCCTAATGAAGGTGCTTCCTGTGCCTTCTTTTACGATCCATCGGCAAACGAGCTTAAGATTCTTTACCTGTGTATTGGGTTCCAGTTCTTTATCTACAGCCTCGGAGGAAGGAGTTGGAGAAAGATAAAAAGCCCACCTTCAGGTTCTCCCCCTCAATATGATACCCCACTTGCAATCTGCAATGGAGCTCTTCATTGGATCACAAGTTGCGGCCGTGCTGCTGAGGAAGATATCCCACCTTGCACCAGTGGAATAACAATTTTTGGGATGGATACCGAAGATTTCTCTACCTTGCCTCATCCTGGTGACGAGTGCAATTCCAGAGTGAATCACAGAAATATGCGGCTTTTAGTGGTGGATGAACATCTATCCTTCTGTAATGTGTATCGGGGTTACACCGTCATTGATATATGGTTGCTGGAGGACTACGCAAGCTGGGCTTGGGTTAGAAAATGGTGTCTTCGGCCAATCCTAGATGGTCCTCGACCTCTGGAATCGGAATGTTACAGCTTCAGCCGGAGATTAGAGGTTGTGCACTTTCAGAATGGAGAATTGTGGTTGGATTGTGGTGAAAGAGGCTTGGTTCTTTATCATCTTGACCAGAATACCTTTAAGAAACTTGGAAGACCACCCACTTCTTATCAGCATCGTTGCATTCCTTATACGAAAAGCCTGGTGCCCCTACATCGAGCTGCTCTCCCGCAGGATTGATTACTTATTGGATCCTTCTTTTAAGAGTTTTCTATATCTTCCAGTTTGGTAGTATTAATTTATAGGGTAAATTATATTTTACCCTCCTGTGGTTTTCGCAAAAACCACATAACCCCCTCATGATTTTAAAAACTATACATAAATCCTCTGTGGTTTGGATTGAAGTGTCAAATAGACGGAAACTACCTATCGTAACGATTTGTGGGCGAAATGTCCAAATTACCCTAATATAAATACAAAAAAGGCAACAACGAACACGGCCGGGGCTTCCCTTTCCTTTCATTACTTCTTTCTTCACAACGAGAGGAACCGCGTCCGCAACAGTCAAAGTGGTGGAAGGCCCACCAGAGTCAAAGGGAGAGCTTTCTGCACCTCTCTTCAAGAGATAGGATTCTAGTTTCTGCATCTTTCTTTCTCCCATGCTTTTCCGTTGGTCAACTACCAAAAAAAGCCATTTCTGAAACAAGAGCTCTAGTCATGGTTTCATGCTGTATGGGAGCTGCTGATTGTCCCTGTCTAGGCCCCCACCAGTGATTCCATACTGCCCTTCTCCATTGTTACCTTCGCTGCCATGACCAGTACTACTGCTGCCATATCTTAAGCCAGGGCCCCTGCACCAGCCCCTGCCGTAGCCATAGCTGCTGTCCCAACTCCCTTGCCTGCTGCTTGCACCAGGACCATAGCTACCACCATTCCATCCATCACCATTACCGCCGCCATTTTGACCATATTTACTGCCTGGACCACCACCTCCACCTGATCCGACCCACCACCATTACCATCAACAGAGCCATATCCATTGCCGTCATTGAAAGAGATAAGGAGCTCAGATCTAGGCTTTATTGGATCCGTTAAAGTGGTCAAGGGTAATATGGGAACGTTTCTTACTGTTACCAGTAGTACAAGCGCGTGTAAGACACGAATCGTCACGATGGATGTTTTCCGTTTATTTGACACTTTAACCCAAATCACAGAGGATTTATGTATAACTTTTACAATCATAGGGGGGTTATGTGGTTTTTGCCAAAACCACAAGGGGGTAAAATGTAATTTGCCCTAATTTATACTTATGCTAGTTGAACGGGGTCTCACCCAAAGCGTGAGGCCGCCCAGACATAGGTTTATAAAATGCTAGAAGTTTATGATGATAATAGTAGTATATGTAGTTTTAGTATTTATTTTTTTTCCGGCTACCATGACATTTTTATAATCTAATCTATCTTATTTTATAAAATTCTACACGAAGGGAAAGTTTATAATGATGATAGTAGTATATGTAGTTTAGTATTTTTTTTCCGGCTACGATAATAATTTTATAACATAATCTATTTTATTTTACAGAAATAGGGGAGCGAAAGTTTATAATGATAATAGTAGTATATGTAGTTTTAGGTTTTTTTTTTCCAACTATGATAACATTTTTATAATCTAATTTATCTTATTCTATAGGAAGGGAAAGTTTATAACAATTACAGTAGTACATGTAGTTTTAGTTTTTTTTTTCTGGCTATAAGGATAATATTTTTATAACTTAATCTATCTTATTCTATAGGTTCTATAACTTAATCTATCTCCTTCTATAGGAAGAGATAATATTTTTATAACTTAATCTATCTTATTTTATAGGAAGAGGGGGGAGGGTTTAAAGAGACTGTATTAGGGGCTAGTAGGCACACGGATCCAACTAGATTAAAGGAGTACTCTGACACCTTTTTTGAATTTTTTTCTCACTACAAATGAGTTTCAAACCCCCGATCAATGATTCAAAGAGGGACTTAGTCCCCTTTTTGGTGCTTATTGAACCAAAGCTCAATGGTTTATATGTAGATGTAGTAGGACCGTAGGAGAACAAGTAAGTACCCGTTTGGTTGCCACTTCGAAATGGCAATGATAATCACTATCAAAACCTCTTCAATCGGAATAAGTTTATGTTATTCCTTTTCAGGTGTTTAGTTTAGGAAAAGCAATGGGAATGATTATTGATTTTGTTGTTTGGTTTATTCACAGACATCAATGGAAATGCAAGCCGAAATGCAACAACTATTTTCCCATGAGTAAATAAAAATTTTACTCTCCAAATCCCTCTTACAAACAATAAATAAAAGTACGGAAACTCATTTACCCATAAACTACCAGCTCTTTATGGATTTGCTAAAGATCTAACAGGTTTGTGACTAGGGAACTCATTTACTAACTTGCAGCTCTTTATCAAGTTTGACAGTTTCTTTGTGGTGGACCCTGTGGGAAACTCGGATGGACTGGCAGTTTTTTGGAAAAAAGATTTAAATGTCAAAAAAAGTGCTTTTTACCAGTTTTACCATTGAACCCCTGATTTTTGACAATGATTTGAACCAGGATTGGTGGTGTGTTTGCATTTATGCTAGTGATAATGACCAAATTAGAAGAGCCCAGTGGAATTTAGTGAGTAGGAGAAAGCTTTTATTGGGGAATAACTGGATCATTATGGGAGATATGAACAAAATTTCTTCAAACAGGGATAAATGGGGTGCTAGAGTAAGATCTGAAAATTCTTTCAAAGATTTCAAAACTTTATAAACAACAATGATTTGTTAGATTTGGACTTTGAAGGAAACCCTTGGACTTGGAGTAATAGACGGAATGGAGATGGGGAAATCAAAGAAAGACTTGACAGAGTTCTCTGCACTAGGAGTTGGCTGGATAACCATGATAGAGCTAAATGCTATCACATAGAAAAAGAAGCTTCTAACCATTGCATTCTTATATTGGATACTAACCCCAATAAGAAAAAACAGAGGAACAGATTCATGTTTGATAAAAAGTGGCTGTTGTATATAAGGATAGCAATGGGGCGAGGTTGGGGCGGGAGACAGGGGAAAATCGCCCCGCCCCATCCCCCGTCCCCCGCTTCTCCCACGGGTGCCTCATGGGGCTAATACAAATTTGTTATATAATTTTATTATAGTTAAATTTTAGCAAATAATTAAGTATTAAAATATCAACACATCACCAAATTTTTATTCATTGTAATTTCATAATTGAAACTTACAAAAACAATCAAACAAAAGCTATTTGAATACAATCCAATATGATGAAACAAAAACAACTAAAGTATTCAAGTTTTCACTTTTGGCACTAATTCAATACTGTACTTGTGGTTTTTTTTTGAGAAAAAATGTTATTTATATTAAGTGTAATTAGAGATTTAGTATAAATGTATTAGTAAATTTAGTATAACCAATTAAAAATTTGTATTAGTACACATATATAATTATTAGTATAATTGATAATATCAATTATATTACATATACTAATATACATTATATAATACATATAACTAATAATATCATTATCATAAGTTTGTAACTAATTAAATTATATATTATATATAATTATATACATATATATTTTATATATTTATTTTTTTGTGTGTTTCTAAGCGGGGTGAAAAAATTCCCCCCGCCCCCGCCCCATTAGCCCCCTGCAAGGCGGGTGGCTGTGCCATCCTTAGTTGTATAAAGAGGTGGGGGATGTTAAAAAAGGTTTGGACTAAGGGTCTGTTTGATAATATAAAAAAGTGCTGAATCTGAATTTTTTCAGACATTCAGATGTTTTGAGTGTTTGATAAATGAAAATCCATTTGCTGAACTTGTTAAGTAGTGCTGAATTTGTATGTATTTTTTTCAGCATAAGAATCCTAATTGAATGTTTAATTTTGATAAGAATCAATAGAATTACTTCAACTATCTTATGGTATCTATCAAATCTACCATTGTTTGTTAATCATGTTTAAAATTCTTATCTAATTAAACAACCTAATATTTTCTATCTAATGATTTTCTATTACTTTTTTCTCCCTTTTAGATGACTTTCACATTTTCTCCATACTCCTCATATAATATATTTCATCTTTTATATTAATTTGATTTAAAAATAAATATTATCATTTTCATACCTAACAATTTTAAGCTAATTAAATCATAGGTTTTATTTCTTTTTTTTTTTGGATGAAAATATATAAGGGCAAAATTATCAAATTTTCCGCCCCATTAGCCTCCTGCGGGGCGGGTGGCTGTGCCATCCTTAGTTGTATAAAGAGGTGGGGAATGTTGTTAAAAAGGCTTAGACTAAGGATACGTTTGATAACATAAAAAAGTGCTGAATCTGAATTTTTTCAGACATTCAGATGTTTTGAGTGTTTGATTAATGAAAATCCATTTGCTGAAATTGTTAAGTAGTGCTGAATTTGTGTGTATTTTTTTCAGTACAAGAATCCTAACTGAATGCTTAATTTTGATAAGAATCAGTAGAATTACTTCAACTATCTTATGGCAACTATCAAATCTACCCTTGTTTGTTAATTATGTTTAAAATTCTTATATAATTAAATAACCTAATATTTTCTATCTAATTATTTTCTATTACTCTTTTCTCCCTTTTAGATGACTTTCACATTTTCTTCATACTCCTCATATAATATATTTCATCTTTTATATTAATTTGATTTAAAAATAAATATTATCATTTTCATACCTAACAATTTTAAGCTAATTAAATCATTAAAAAAAAATGAACAGAAGCTGCTGGGCAGCCCGACAGCACATCAAACTAGAGGATGCACATTTTTTCTCGGAGGCTAACCTATGACAGTCTCACCTCACCCTAAGGCGAACCAAAGGGTTCGGCGGATCGCCTGCCAAATTCTCACCGGGACTACGGATCCGAAACAAATGGAAACTTCACCCTACCAAACGCTCAAAAGAACTTCGAGAAGATAATATTCTGAACCCAATTGAGCCAAACTAAAAGATATAATAAGCTAATCACACCCTAAAATACCTGTTCCGAAAGATAATACAGTGCTCAAGCGCTACAATGACCGATGAAAAAAACGGAACGAAGAATGAAAACAAGCCGCGGATGAACAATGATTGCCACGCCACAATCCAACCAAGTACAAGTAAACTTTGTTTAACATGAGAGAATGTATATTCCCAAATACATATGCCATATAACCATGAAGAAACACTTTAAAATATACATATTAGTAAGTTCACAAACCCAAAAGGGAATATTGTAGTAAGATACATTTAGAGTTTTCAAATTGTCGAGGAGCTATACCAAAAGAACAAAAGAATTTCTAACTAGTTCAACTCATTCTTCAAAACATCGAAGTTCCAAAAGGTTGTTCCCTGTAAGAAAAACAAGGATAACGGAACGGAGTGAGTTAGAAGTTCAATGAGGTACCAAAAGTATAAACAGTAGAAATCATGAGAAATCACTTTTAGAACACATATACACGTCAAATAATAGAAATGAATGAACACCAGAAATTAAAGGATACAGGTGGCTCTCAGGAGCCAAATCTCCGTTGCAATACTTGATCCAACCTAGTTGACCCTCCGTCAACATTTAATGAAAACACACATGTCTGTAGACTCCACTTACGCCAAAATTCCGATCACCAAACATACCCCTTACCGGGCCCGAACGTCAAATAGCGAACGTCAAATAGGAACAGGAATGGTAATACTCGAGTATACTAGAAATCCAGAGTCTTCAATACTCATAGATTCCCCAGGAACAGGCACCAATGAATTGTCCATTTCCTCGACCAAGCCCTTGCTGGCTCGATTCAATTAACTCCCCATGAGATTGAGCTCAGATTTAACAGGAAGATCGTTGGATATACTTTCAAACGATATTATAACAGGCGCAGGTAACAGAGTCAAGTATATACAGGAAACAAGTCACACAGGCCAGAGAACGAGTGCGATAAAGTACACTCTCATCTCGAACAAAATAAACAGTCGGGAAAGACATTTAAATAGCAATTTACAAGTACAGATAATCAGTTTAGCAATAATTCAGGGGAGTGGTACACTCACCGGTTAAAGCAAGGATACTTCAAATGTTTCAACCAAAATAGGCATCTAATTACCAAGAAACCCTAGAATAACCAAGGTAAACAATTATGGTTTCTATCGCCACAAATCCAGTAAATAAAATGCACAAATGAGACTCGACTACAAGTCGTAGACCTCACCAAATAACTACTAATGCAAGGGTGCAAAACATGATTTTGGGAACGAAAAGATAACATGAAGACCTAGGACTCGAACAACCCTAAAAGCCCTTCTTATAAATATCCCAAACCAAACCAAACTCGAAGAAATCCAACATTTCCAAAATTTGGTAGCATATCCCCTACATTTTCTTACTTTTCCATCCTACAATCAACACCATTTTATTTCAAATCAACCACATACAAATCATAGACTATAAAACACACCTTTCGGCACAATAACCACAACTGAAGCTACACTTATCGGATTGAAATAAATCTTATGGCGTTTCGAAACCAAGACATATATCTACATTTTTTATGAAAACTTCCAAAGTCAAATCATGCATTTTCAGGATAAAAAATGGAAATCTCCACGAAAACAGAAAACTGTCTGCGGAACAGGGCTTATGGGCAGTCAAGGGTATTTCGGTCATTTTACATGCTACGGTGCTCCGATTGAGTTGAAATTTTACAGGTAGCTAGCTAACTCAATTACTAACAACTTTTATGTTTTGGGCAAGGGCTGATTCGGTCTCCTTCAAGGACAAACATTCAGCGCAATATCAGGGCCGATTACTAACCCTCAACTGGAATTTTCGCACAAATTCTGAATTTTTCTGCAAACAACTACAACTAACACACAAATGCTTCATTTCATACCATATCAACCTATCATTCATGGCCAACCACTAATTATCATATAAAATCAGAAAAATACCAATAAAATCTAAAATTTAGCTAACTCTTTCTCAAACTATAAAATCTTCCATAAAATAGCATATTTGGCAACTAAAACCCACTAATTAGACATTAGCAAGAACAAAGAGGAAGTTTCCAAGCAAGGTACCTTGACACTTGAAGAAAGATGATAGCTTAGGGTTTTCCCTTCACAAATCCCTCCACTAGAAGTTTTAATCCTTCTTAGTAAGCAACTTGGATGAAGTAATTTGATAATTCAACGGTTGAAATTCAAGATTTGAGCAAGAATTGACGTTGAAGTTGAAGAAACTCTCTTGGTTTTCTCCTCACAAGATTCGGCCAAGGCACAAGAAAAATGAAGAAGGTTTGGCCAATTTTTGGTATTTTGTAAAGGTGAAAATTGGTCAAAGTCCAACCTCCATTAGTTTCATGACACTTGGCCCTATTAGGGTTTGATCTAATCCTTTTATCTTCCAATGGTTAAGCCATCTAGCTAACCTCTAATTGTTTCCTAACACCTTATAAAATAATACCCTTTTATGTAAAATTCACTTAGTTGTCAAAAATTTATCGCATTTACCGCACTAGCGGGTCCCACGTCCATGATACACTTCAAATTTAACATGAATTAACTTATACCAGCAAAATGATTTAAAAACTATACTCACTTATAAAAATCTCTGAAAAATTAATATAATAGAGTATAATGAAGAAAATGCATGCGAGAAAATAAAATAAAATAAAGAAAATGTACGGGTCCTCACATAACCAAAGAGCTAGGATTTAATAGGCTAAAGTAAATATGTTAAGTATTGAGCATCTAAACGAAATATTGTAAAACATGCTAAAGAATTGTCATAGGCGTGCCAACTCATGTTCTTCATTTTTGTATTGTAAGGTGATAGATGAAACAAATGTTTCTAGATGATATCCTGCCTCTGGTTCTCAATTTGACATGACGTGTGGATGGAGATAAAAATTGCCTTAAGTTAGTCTGGATGAAAACTTAATAGAAATATTAGCCTACTAATTTTCGAGGTGTGATTTGTGGTTGCTACTATTGTAACATGCGGTCCTATATATAACGTGTTTTTAAATTATCATTTCCTGCACATGTTTTTAAATTTCGAATATTTCAATATGAGGATTTAACGTTATTTAATCTTAACTTATTTGAATGCTTATTGTTATTTTTAAATTTCACCATTTCATCATTTCACACTATCAAATTTTTCTTCTTTTCTATTTTTTGCCTTTTTTTATATTACCATCCAAAATTTGTATTTATAAAATTATAGTGTAATTTAAAAATTACTTTTTCGTTTAACAACCTACTATCATGTTTACTTCTACCTCTATCCTTATACTTAATCACTATCATTGAATAATTTATTGATATATTTTATTTGGATAAATATCAATTTTCTATGCATTTAAAAAAATAAAATTGTTAATGTTTAGCTTTTTCTGTAGCAATGATGTTAATGTTTTGGTTTGGTTCAATTGTCATGTTATCTAGCTCCTACAGGCGGATTAATTCGCTCAATTGGTCCATACAAAATATCAGACAACACTGCAGAATCTTTGAAATTGAAGTGAAGTCTTTTACAACAGAAATGAATAAAAAACTCGAGCCGAACGATGTCGTTGTGGACTGTACTCCAGATGTTGACCTGCGCATATGCCACATCCAACAGCATTCACGCTCATTACAAATTTTGGTGCATCCAAAATTATTGTTTTTTGCCATTTTGACTATTACAGTCGTTATTGGGTTCATAATGCCAACGGTGGCATTCACTGGGTGCTGCGATGGTATGAAGAAAATCAATTTCTTTTGTGTTTTTTGTTTTCCTTGTTTACATTGACTTATCTTTTTGATCTTCTGTTTCTATTTGCAGATAAGTTGAAGGTTATTTTGCAAAAACTATTCACGATATTTTGTAAGGTACTGTATAGGTTTTATTTTTACTTTTTGTTGCTGTCGCATGACTCATTTTTTACTGCTCCAATTTCTATAACTAGTATTACTAATTTTGGCATCTCTTTTAGGGGATCATGAACTCACATGGGAACTTCACTATTGGATGATCTCTTTTGCTTCAATAGGTAACATAAAACATATCTATTTACTGAATGTAGTTTAAGCAAGTTTACAAACATATAGGCTAGGATGTTGGTGAAAGTATAGCTAGCTCCAAATCTAAAGGTGATTTTTTTTGGTAAGAATCATTTTCAAAGAAGCACCAGACCCCAGAGGTATTGGTGGCTTTGCCTCTGACATTTCCACTTCATACGAACTAAATTTCACTTCACCTTCATTCTCCAATCTCATTTGCTTAAGTTTTGCTAGTCGTATAGCATGTTGTTCATTTTTTTTTTAAAATTTGACTTCTGTTGCCAGGCTGACACAGCCCGACAGCTCTTATTCATATATTTTGTTTCAAATTTGGATTTTGCTGCTGGGCTGACATAGCCCGGCAGCTCCTGTTCATATATGTTTTTTTAAAATTTGATTTTATACATGACCATTGTCAGAACCTCATTCTTTCAATTTTTTTAGCCAATATTATGAGTAATTAGCCGCTTCATCCCTTGTACAATGTGTTTCATAGTACTACTGTAAATTACTCTTTGACAATAGTTTAAATATGTTGCAGCTTTGCGCTATCGCCATTCGCGTGCTTGATTATCTCTCCGGAGCATCAATTGGCTTTATTTAGTGTCTTCACTTGGAATTTGTTATCATTTTGTTGTATACACTAGAATAAGGGTGGCCGTGCTGCCAAATATTGTGAAAAATACATGTAATGAAATTTGCTAATAGATTTAATGCACAGCAGGCTGCTAGACAATTTCGTGGCTCTCAGATGGTGTTCAATGACACATCTTCGCTATTTGTTTTTTCAAAATACAAAAAATTCTATCTTTGAGGACTATTCTCCAATTCTGTTTGTTCCCATTTTTGCTCACCTGCTTGAAGAAGAGTGTACTCAAGTATGGTAAGCTGATATCAGGTATTTTGATAAAGACAAAGTTAAAATCCAAAAGAGTACAGAACTATATATATATATATATATATATATATATATATATATATGAAGGGGACTATTAGAAACAAAAAGGAAAAATTAATTGTAAACTAATCCAAGAAAGCCACAAATGGCAGTTGAAACACTCATAAGAAATTTGTATAAATAATATCTATCTATTAAAAAAAGGCTGATGAATTTGTAAAACAAATTTGATCATGAAACACAAATTCTTGATACAACTAAGTCAATTTGTCGTTAGAAATCCTACTCCAAGAGTCTATAGTTTTATATCAATGAAATATGGAAAAACTAATTTTTCAAATTAAAAACTAAAACAAGGATACTCCCTAAATATTACAAAATGCAATTTCAACATGCTTTCTAAATTGGATTTTTGAAAACTATAACTAAGTGTACACTTAGTGTTGCTGAATTTGCACCAACTATTTTTCACTCTCGATGCACTAAAAATCTTAATGAACTGTACCAACTATGTATTTTGTTGTAATTTCAACGATATGGACCATTTTAGATGAAGTTTCACTAATTTAAAACTTTATCTATTTGATGGAGCTTGAGCAAAAATACATCATCGAACTCATACAGTGTAGTATTTTAAAAATTTTACTGCTTAAAGGGAGCCTAAATTTATCCCAAAAAAAAAGGCTAAAACTGGTTATTTTGACACAAATTATTAATAAATTTGTTCTTCAATTCTTATTATATATGGACTATAACATTTTCAAGACACACACAACCCTATTTCCATCAATATTCCCTTCAGATATCAAATTTTGAATACATATGTCATGATTCGATAGATAGGGATAATTTTAGAAACCTTCCCTAAGGTTTTTGACTATTTGACTTAGTTCCCTTGAAGTTTTAAAAACTACACTTACCTCACTTGATTTGACACTTTGGTAACCAAACCTTAAAATTAGGTCAAAAATATAAATAATACCCTAAAATGCCCCTATCTTATAAAGTTCAATTAATTCTTCTAAATAGTTGTAAAGTAATTTGACACAATTATAGGAAAAAAAAGTAGTCTCAAGTTTTTCACGCCAATATTTGTTATTTAATAATCAACTATAACAATAAATCTTTTGCTATGATAAGCTATTTTTTTATAGTGCTTTATTGGGAATATAGATTCTTTTAAGATAAAGAAGAAAGTGTTACCTTGTGTTTTTAAATTTATGGACTATTTTTTTAAATAAAAATTTATTGACTAGTTTAGTGATGGAACCACCATAGTTTGGTAGTGATTTTGGACCATTTGTTTTTAATTATTGTTGATTTTGATACAAAAAAAAAGTTACAAAAAATTGGATGATATTAAAAGTCATAAAAAAAGTTATTGGTTTATCTGGATTAATATTAGCGACAACATTAATAGTTCTTCTATACTTCTAATGAAATGTAAGTGAAATGAATAAGGTAAAAGGAAAAAGATTATAAAATCCATCTTTCGTATAAACAAGGCAGCAAGAGAGTTTTATTAAAATATTAAGGTTAGTATTGTCATTTGAAATGGGTAAGGGAGGTAGGTGTTATTTTTGAAACTTTAAGGGAGCCACGTGAAATTATCAAAAACCTTAGGGGAGGTTTCTGAAATTATCCCCGATAGATAACAAAAACCGTAAAAGCCAATCACAATAAGTATTTGTAATCCAAAATAATGTTTGAAGGAAGCATATGTAAAAATGCATCATGCTTTACTTAAAAAAAAACTAAGAATTACAAAAAAAAACCCTAAACAAATAGTTACATTGTGATCTTAAGAGAGAAAGCATGCATACCTGAAAAAGACGAAACCTGTGAGAGTTTGCTTCCAATCTCTCAAGCACTTGACAAATTGTTGTATTAAGCACCTTTTTCCTTCAAACCAATGATGTTTTGCTATCATAAAAACCAACCAACAGCAATAAATTAAAGCCAACAGCAAGACTTAACATGTTTAAAAAGTCCCTCTCTAAATATTTTCAGAGTTTTACCAAGTTGTCAAATTGTCATTTTGGATGCTGTGGTAAGGGAGACCACCCAACTTTCTAAAATAACTCTACCATTGATTTCTTTCATTTTCTTTTTTTTTTTGGCCTGTCAATATAGTTTCAGTGCACCATGAGAACACCTATGGCAACAGCAATCTGCATCCAAGTTAAAAGAGAGAGAGAGAGAGAGAGAGAGAGAGAGAGAGAGAGATCAATGCAACATAAATAAACAACAACAAACCAAAGGTAGAGAACCATCATATCACCATAGAGAGAGAGAGAGAGAGAGAGAGAGAGAGCAATGCAATATAAATAAGGGATAATTTCATAAACCTCCCCTGAGGTTTCTGACATTTACACTTACCTCCCCTGTGGTTTGAACAATTACACTGACCTCCCCTGAGGTTACTAATCCTTTACAAATTCAGTCCAAATGATTAAAATATTATTTTAGATAGTGAAATTATAATTTTGTACCTGATTTATCCTTTGTGCCACATGTCCAATGAATGGCAAAGTATTACAAATTAATTAACAATTAATAAACTTTAACGAGCGTAGTTTATAGGCAAATACATATTGCCTATTTAAAGTATCAGCTCTTTACATGTATTTTACTTTCAAACATTTACTTTATTACAAATATTTATTCTCAAATACAGATTTGTATTTACTCTCAAATATTTAATTTTTGTTAAACACAAAATCTACCAGTTTTTCTTCCGTAGAAATAATAATATAACACTTTTTCAATTTTAGTTATAAATATTTATATATTTAACATAAATTAAATGATTCAGGATAAAATATCCATAAAGAGCCAATACTTTACTCATGTAATGGATGAAAGTCATAAAAAATTAATAGTTTATGAGGCCATTTATTTTTTAAAAATTATTTAATTTATATTAAATAGATAACCTACTGATTTTTTTTGCAAGAATATTACTTTAACACTTTTTAATTTTTAATTACAAATGTTAATATATTTATCATAAATTAAATATTTGAAAATAAAATATCTGTAAAGAGCCGATACTTTAAATAGGATATGCGTATTTGCCTATAAACTACACTATTTAAAGTAAGGAGTATAGTTTATTGATTTAAGTTAAGGAGTGTAGTTTATTGATTTAAGTAAGGAGTGTAGTTTATAAGCAAACACGCATAACTTATTTAAAGTACCGGCTCTTTACATGTATTTTATTTTTAAATATTTAATTTACAATAAATATATCAATATTTGTAATTAAAAATTAAAAGGTGTTACAATAATATTCTTGTAAAAAGAAAATCGATAGGTTATCTATTTAATATAAATTAAATTTAAAAAAAAAAAAGAAATGGCCTATAAAATGTTAATTTTTTATGACTTTCATCCATTACATGAGTAAAGTATTAGCTCTTTATGAGTATTTTATTCTAAATCATTTAATTTATGTTAAATACATAAATATTTGTAATTGAAATTGAAAAAATGTTATATTAATATTTCTACGGAAGAAAAACTGGTAGGTTTTGTATTTAACAAAAATTAAATATTTGAGAGTAAATACAAATCTGTATTTGAGAATAAATATTTGTGATAAAATAAATGTTTGAAAATAAAATTCATGTAAAGAGTTGGTACTTTAAATAGGCAATACGTATTTGCCTATAAACTACGCTCGTTAAAATTTATTAATTGTTAATTAATTTGTAATACTTTGCCATTCATTGGACATGTGGCACAAAGGACAAATCAGGTACAAAATTCTAATTACACTCTCTAAAATAATATTTTAATCATTTGGACTGAATTTGTAAAGGATTAGTAACCTCAGGGGAGGTCAGTGTAATTGTTCAAACCACAGGAGAGGTAAGTGTAAATGTCAGAAATCTCAGGGGAGGTTTCTGAAATTATCCCTATAAATAAACAACAACAAACCAAAGGTAGAGAACCATCATATCACCATAATCTTTTAAGATACAAGATCAAAATATTGTTACCATATAAAATTATTGGTTACTCTATCATTCTTCAGAGCATATGCTTTAGATTTCACGTGACAATCACATACCAGGAACCAAAAAATGACAATCATAAATCAGAATCGCAAAATTTTGATCAAGTAGAGAGGAATAAATTGTCTCCAAATCACAAAAGATAGAAGCACAAAGTGAAACAAAATCAAAACTAAGGTACATATTTAACTGAATCTGAATCCACTAACTTTTTTGTTATGACTATCATAATTGTTTTGTTGCTTTATAGGCTGTACTCTTCATGTCATTTGGCATGTAGTAGTAGTAAAATTTCTATT